GCCCATCTAGATAAAAATCAAAACAATAAGACATCGATGGTTATTTTCTATTTGATTACTTTTTCGATTGATTGCTTACAACAAATATATATTGTGGCGTATGAGTGTTAATTTCTTTTCTCTCTCTCTTTCAGTGTTGCCACACTTTTTTAAGCTTTATTAATTATTAACGCTCTTATGCAACGGTGATTTTGTAGAGATTTCTTTGTCAAAATTTTACCGAATTGTTTACTAAATTGATTAACGCTTGTTTTTGTAGATTTTTTTCTTTTTAACCGCAAGATTTTAAATAAATTGTTGTTAAAATATAAATACTATTCATAAATTGTTTAAATAAGCAAAATTTGGTTATTTTTAATTGTTTAAACAGCAATACTTAAAGTGTTTAATATATTGCGACAGTAAGTATAAATTATTAGCGCCAATTGCTAATTGAACACTCCTCAATGTATTAGGCGGCATTTTTTAAATCGGCTGGGGTTTTTTTGTGTTTGTTTAACAATTATTAAAAAGATTTTAAAGAAATTTACGTGGTTGTTGTTTATTAACATATGATGTTGTTTACAAAATATTGACATTTTTGGCGCCACTTGGGGGTCTACTAAAAACAAAATGAAAACAATAAAAATAAATATTTTAAAAACATCTTTTTACCCATATGATTCATGACACACTTAAAAATTTTAGGCAAAAATAACAATCAAAATCCCAATACCAGAAGAAGATATAACAGAGGTTATTTTTTAGTCGTTTAGACAGATTGGACTTTCAGAAGACATAATACATTTTACAAATAAAGGTACTTTTTGTAAAGTTTAGGTTGTTATGTCGAAAATCTGATTTATCTTGAATCCAAATATGGCCTCAGATTCTGGTCTATGTTTGAAAAATTATATTTTGCTCTCCGGCGATCGACTTTTTAAATATATACATATAATGGAGAAAACCTAAAAAACTTAAAATCGGCTGTAGATCAATAAATAACTATCTAATTGAGAAAATAGTTAGATAATTTAATTGAGAAAATGTCAAAAAACTCTTATCACACATATATTCCATCAAAAAATCGATTTTTATACAATAAACTCAAAATCGATTGTATATATTAAAATAAGGCAGCAATTGTGATAATCTATGATCACTCGTATAATGCATGCAGCTAGCCTGCGATATCTTTAGAAAACTCTTTTTCCAGTTTTCATCAAAAATGATCAATATACGAAATAAAGTGTAGTAAACTCATGTATATAAATATTAAGCCGTTTGTTTTTTTGTTAGTGAAAGGTTTAAGCAAAAGTATTTATGAAAACTTTATTTGGAAGTTAGGGTCAAATATTGGCCGATCCTCAAAACATGTGGAGGAGGAATTTATTTTAAATACATAAAAGGTTTACGCCGTATGGACAGATGGACGGATATGCCAAATTCGACTCAGAAAGTGATTTTAAGTTGGGTGTAGGACCAATATAATGCATTACAGACATCAGCACTATGGCCAGGAAAACTTTTTAGAACTTATTCTAAAAAAAAACTAGTTCTAGAACGAACGTAAATAGAACCACTTCAGATTCTTAAACAACCTTGTAACTAGTGATGTCGCCCTTACTTCTGAAATAAGATTTCAAGGAACTAGTTCTTTGTCACTGGTTCCACATGATTTTCATTATACAGTGATAATAACACAGGCCGCCAAATTTTTAACCCATAAACCAAAGTATACTTTTCTAAAGGATTGAGATATCATCCGTTGAAGTTGACGGACAGACAGACATCGTTAAGTCGAATCAGAAAGTGATTTTGAGTCGATTAGGAACATCGTCAGATAGGTGTGGATCCTGTATTTTTGCTCGTTATAAATAATATTTACAAAGCATAATACCCTTCGCACTATAGTAGTTCAGGTTATAAAAGCTAAAAATCATGAGATTTTTAAGTTTTAGTGGAATTTATCTCGAAGAAAAAAGAAGATATTTCGAATGTTAAGCCTTTGTTTTAATGCTAAGAATGGAATTTCAGATGATATATATCATTTTTTTACAAATAAACTTGTCTTGGCGCTTTTAAAACGTCTCAAAATGAACCAAAGGCGTTTTTCCAAATTTGAGGACACGATTTCTCAAATCTCAGATGTGATGGAGAAAATTTGATTCGTCAGATTCAGAATCAGTCAGCGCTGCTCAGGGTTTCGACTTTTTTTCAAATTTTGTAGGCCTGATATTTACCTAATATTTACGAAAAATGTCGTACATTGTTCACGAAATATTTATTTATGCAAATATTTTGGTTAAATTTATAATATTTTTTGCAATTTTAAAATGAACAAATTGTCATCAAGACGAATTTTTTTCTTTTATATTATGAAAATAATTTGTGAATTACATTATACTTTTCTTAATTTTAGAAGAAAATGTCGTAATTATATTAAATTATAACATAATTAATATTATTATGTTTAAGTTCGAAAAAAAGTTAAAAGGTTTTCGTATTTCATAAAATTAGAGTTGTGTTTGATTAAATAATATTTCATATTATACACGAAATTTTCGTAAATATTACGAAAAAATTAGTCACGATTTTTTTCGTTAAGTTAAGCATGGATTATTTGCAGTGTATATTTATAGTTGATATAGTTTGGTAATTATACAAATGTCGATTTTTTGACAAACTTTTTCCATAAAATTTTGATTTTTTAGATTATAACCAATTCTATTGGATACAGATCCAGACTCCTGTATCTTAAACATATTCCCACAAAAACTAAAGCATTGCTTTTCAATTATATGATATAAAACAAGTATTAATGTATAGTCTGTCGTGGAAGACCATATGATACCATATGATTACGTCTATATTAAAGTTATTTATGTAGAATTTCATCGTGTTATTAGTGTTTATTAGTGAAATTTGACTTTCAAGTCATTTTCTGAAGGGGAGTTTGTATGGGGGCTAGGGTCAAAGGATTTTTGTTGAAATACTGGAACATTTAACATAATTATAAGCTCAAGAACTTTATTCAGGGGGTACGGTTGTATGGGGGCTATCTGAAATAATGGACCGATTTCAACTATTTTCAATAGCGCTCGTCCTTGAAGAGTATGTGCCAAATGTCATGAAATTATCTTGTAAATTTCGACCTGTAGAGTGCGCACAAGCTTTACAGGAATACACAGACAGAGGGACGGACAGACATAGATAAATCGACTCAGAAAGTGATTCTGAGCCAATTGGTATACTTTCAGACCCAACATTTTTGGCTGTTACAAACATCAGCACAAACGCATAAAAACTCTCCACTATAATGGTGTTGGTTATAATTAATAAAGGACAACATTTAGATATTACGATATTTCGGTAGTGTAACCTATTTATAGCCGAATACTGTGACTTATGATAGCGCTATTTACAATCGAATAAAATAGCAAAAAAAGTGTTTTTGTATGAGAATCGGCATTGTTTTGCCGCCGGAACCAATATTTACTTAAAGCTTCAATGTCTATATAAATTAATAAATAAGAAAAAGGGTTAAACTATACTTAAACATGCAAAAATTGTTAACATTTCATTATAATATAAAAATTTAATAAAGTTTTCAAAAACTAAATAAACAACAATAAATAACACTATAAATTAAATACAAGGCCTTCTGACAATTAGAATGACAACACAACTCCCTTTAAAGAAAAATAAGGACACACATACAAAAACAGAAAGTAATTTAAAAATTTGACAAACAATTTGACTGGCAAAGAAAACTTACTTATTTATAAATTATATTAAAAATTTGCCTAAATACAGTCTCGTTACAAAATTGAATTTTATTTACACTTGGTTATAGCTGCTTTTGTTATAGTTGTAGTTGTTTTTGTTTTGAGTTTTTATTATTAAATACCAAAAACTTAATGTTTTCTCGCTCGTGCTTATGACTGAAGAAAACAAATATTAAATTGAGTTTTTTTATGTTAAATACGTTAAATGCTAAATGAGAAGACGAAAAAAAAACAAAATTAAACTAAAATTGTATTTAACAACAAGAAATGCAATTAAATACACGCAAAGCAGCACAAAAACAACTACAACAACAACTACAACAACAGTAAAGTATAAAGTTTTTTAAGGCTTTTAATGATGATCGCCATAATTACCGTTACAAGCTTTAAACCACCATTGTGCTAACAATCAACAATGATTGGTGGGCTTTTCAACGCCTTTTTTTGGAGAGAATAAGAGTGAACAGCATAGCAATAGAGTGTTATGGTTTGGGTAATAGGTATAAAAGAGAGAAAGAGTGTGTGTAAGAGTTTAAGTAAACAAAAGAAATCATTGTTTTTTTAGTGGGGGGAAACGGAAATATGTTAGTGGTTGAACGTTTCTAGCTTGTGGATATTAAAAGGTAAAGAAATGTTTTTAGTCACTTGCGTTCTCTTTCTTATGCTTACCAATGTGTTTGTTGTTGTTGTGTACGGTTTAGTATGAGTTGTAAGTGTGTGTGTGAGTTGTTGTTATGCTAGTTTAAGGCTTGTTTGTTGCTGTTGTTTACGCTGTTTGCCTTATCGTTCGTTTTGTTCGGTGGTTATATGAGATTTTTTGATTGCCAGACTTGCCTGCCTGTTAGTGGACTAACTGACTGAATGAATGTGTGTGTGTGTGTAAATATGTTCGAGATACATAAATGACGTCCTAAGTTTAACCACCGACAAACAAGACACGAATATTTAAACCTTAACGTGCCAGAGCAGCCAGCAGCAGCTAACAACCTCAAACTAACTTATAGATACATTCAAACAAACACATTTATAAACTAACAACCACCACCAACAACAACAACAACATGTTCTCATACCCATTCTACCAAACATTCATACAGCCATATGTCTGCTGCTAAACAACACAACAACAGCAACAACAACATTGGGAAAAAACTAAAAAAACCAAAACAAGAAAATCAACTTGTCTAGTTAGCAATCTTCAATCTAGTTTCGAACAGTTGACTGTGAAACATCGAGTGGAAAGGTCCTACTCTATTGGATTTTTTTCGGTTTTTTTTTCTACTTGTAATTTTTCGAAAATTGTAACTGATTGTCGTATATCATCATCATTATTAACAACAACAATATATTTAAACATCATCGTGTTTATTCGTTAGTTGGATATAGAATATATTCGAGAGCCTAGTGTTAACAAGAAAATAAGATCATATAACATTAATAATAACAACAATAACCAATACACATATAAAATCGAACAACATAACAACAACAACAAAAAACTGTTACAATTTGTGAGCAACATTAAAAAAAACACAAAGAGAAAAAGACTTGAGTCAAATTGAGCAATGATTGCGCTTTGATTGATTTTAGTATGTGGTGAACAGTAAACGAGACAAGACGTTAAAACGGTCGTGTGTTTTTTGAAAAATAAAAAAAAACTTAGTGTATTATAAACATAAAAGAAAATATATTAATAATTTTCAATTATTAAATAACAATTAATTAAAAAAAATTTAATTGAAAGCAAAAATAAAAAACTGTGTAAATTTGTTTAAGTGTTTTTAACAAAAAAAAAAAAAAAAAAAAAATCCCCTTTGAACTTAGTGTAGTTCTTAGACTATGCTTTGTCCACCCACCATGCGTCCCGCCAGTCCTGCAGAATCTGAAATTTCAGTGGGCGGTGCCCCCAGCCCTTTGCCTCAAACACAAAATCGCTCTGCCATTGATTTATTGCATCAGCAACAACAGTTAATCTTACAGCATCAACATGCAGTGGCCGCCGCTGCTGCTGCTGGTTTAACACGTGCCGCTGCCGTCGGTACAGTGCCAGAGGAATATTTTCAACCTTTAAAACGTTTAAGAATGTCCGCAGATGCTGAAAGTTTAAAAGAAAGATCTCCCAGTCCAGTGCAACAGCAGAATTCCAACTCTAATACCGGCAATACAAAATCCAACCTGGAGGGTGTTAAAAGTTTTTCCATAGCCGATATTTTGGGTCATGAAAAACGTGATAGCTCTTCTGTATCACCACCTCCCAGCGCCACACAAAGAACCTCTACCGGTTTACTACAGCCCCGGACAGAACCTTTGGATATAGTGACGGGAGCTCATCCAGCGGCCATGTTATTACCCGGTTCAGCTCATGTGGTAAGACCCTGGGATCATTTATTGGGTCCCATGCCTGTAAGACCATTCATACCCTCCGCATTGCTACACTACGAACAAAGATTGGCTTTGGACTATCATCGCCAATTGCAGGAACACTTTAATGCTCAGGCCCAATTGTTAAGACACATGAATGGCATGGATATTATTCCCTCAGAGAGTGGTAGTGAACGTAGTAGTTCTGCTGCTAGTGATTGTTGTTCACCGGAAATTAATCGTTCTTCGGGAGATTTACATACACGTCATTCTCCTCAATCCTCACAGGAAAGATCTCAACATAATAGTAGTAATGGTGGTGCTAGTGGAGCTAATGGCTCCTCTAATGGTGGTAATGGTGCAGCAGCCTCTACGAGTGGCGGTAAAACGAAACCTAATGGCACTCCTTTGGATGCTTTATTTCAAATGACCACCAAAGATTTTGATGAAGAACAAGGTAGGTTGTCGGATAATTTTAAGTTTTTAAATTATAAATTAAAAAATTTTGAGAAAACTGAAGTTGTAGCGTTACAAAAGTGGGTTTTTCAAAGAATAAATAAATTAGTTGTTTTAACGCGTTAATAAGCTTATGGAAAAGCTTAACGATTCTTCTAAAGTTCCTAATTCTTTTAGTTAAAAAAATCTTCAAAAGTAGTTTCTTAAAAAGATAACAAATAAATTCTCGAGTTGAAATGCTTTTAAAGGAGCTTTATATAGTTTAATTAGAAGCTTTAAAGCTCCTCACTTGTTTATGATGATTTAACAGGAGCTTGATGCGCTTTAACGAAAGTTTTACCTGAGCTTTAAAATACTAGTACTAACTTTAGTTTATAAACAAGTTAACAACGATTCAACGAAAGCTTACACTTAGTTCAATGAAAGTTTAAGAAGCTTTAAAGGCGTTTGTAAAGCTTTTAGAAAAGCTTTCAATTTCTACTATGAAGCTTTAAGCACTTTTCAAACTTTTATTAACTTTAGTTTGAGAATTCCTCTCGATTATGTAAATTTGTACTAACTTTAGTTTATAAACAAGTTAACAACGATTCAACGAAAGCTTACACTTAGTTCAGTGAAAGTTTAACAAGCTTTAAAGACATTCATAAAGCTTTTACTAAAGCTTTCAATTTCTACTATGAAGCTTTAAGCTCTTTTCAAATTTTTTTAACTTTAGTTTTAAAATTCCTCTCGATCATTTAAATTTTATTTAAATTAAATGTAAAAGAATTGCTGTTACACATTTTATACCTCAACACTTGTGATAAATGTAATTTTAAATTAATTAATGTTAAATTAACATCAAACAATGTGTGTGTATGTGCGGGTCCAACGCACAAAATTAAGATAAAATAATAATGAACTATAAAAATAAATGAGAAATGTCAAATAATAAGACACAATGCCATTTACCTTTTGCTGTTTACTTGACAGCTAATTTAAATTTAACAAAAAAAAGAGAAATCATTATACTAAGACTGATAAATAACTTAATTTAATTGCTTAAATAAAGATATTTAAAAAATTTAAATTAAAACAAAATGCAAACAACAAAAAAAAAAATGTCTCACGATGCCAAAAACATATTATTTCAAAAATATAAAATAAAATGAAATATTTGAAATTTATACACAAAAATAAATATTTAAAAAAAGCCACAAAATATTAAATAAATTAAATAAAATTAATTTGAATGCTAAACATTTTTGTTACGCACTGTATAAATAGCTAAAGCTTATATTTAGTTTAGTTATTTTTCAATATTTTTTCTTGTAAATTTCAAATTTATTAAATTAGTAATTTTCTTAAAAAATTAGATAACAAATAATTAGTTTTTCCCTTTTTTTTTAAATTGATAAAAAAAATAGAAACAGAAACACTTAATAAGTTTAACTGCTAAATAACAATAATGACATTGACTGTTTTTCAAGAATGTGTGTTATGTTAATGACATTTTTGTGCATTTTACAAATAAATTACTTTTCCACCCAAAACACAAATCAATTACTTATGAAAATGAAAATTTCAACAGAATTTTATTTTTGTTAAAACTAAGTACTAGCACGTTATACCCCAGAGACTTGGCTTAACAAACACAAAAACTCTAAATGAGAAATATTTTAATTATCTATATTAAAATTTATGATTTTATAAAGAAATTTCTTTTTTAAAAAATTATCATAAAACATTGAAAATAAAAATCATATTTTAAAACCCACCAGACATTAAGGCTCCTAAAAACAAGATAAACACAATTCCTGGAATAGATGAAAAAAAAATTGAAACATTTTAAAACAAATGTTTACAAGTGTTTTCTTAAGAATATTAAATTTAATTTTTACTTATATTTATCATTATTAAATATATCTTTTAAAATACTTCAACGGACTTGTAATCAAATTTCAAATTATTTATTTTATTGACATTCAGCCAGACATGTGACAAATACAAACCAAAACAAAACTCCTTTTTAACGAATAGAAAGAAACCTTTAGTAAAGTACTTGAGTAAGTACTTGACATAAATTAGTTAATGACTGAGATTAGTTTAGAAGGGGAGTGTAGTAGAGTTTTGTTTTAAGTAGGGAATAATGAATTTAGTCGTGAACAAGTATTTGTTTTGTCTTTTGGGAAAGTGGTTTAAGAGGTTTTGAATTACGTAAACGAAACAAATGTTTTCAATGATTAAGGGATAGTAAGGGGAATATGTTTTAATAAATAAGATTAAGATAAAGGTCAGAAGAGTGCAGCTAAGTAGATAGAGAAAAGATTTTAAAATATGTAAGTTTTCAAAAATCTTTAATTTATAAAAATTTCGTTATAGTAAATATTTTGGCAAAAAAGTACTTTTTTCAAAAGTTTTGTACCAGATTATCATATTTTACTATGATTTCTAAAAGCCCCCATACACAGAGGGAAAAGGAAATATACACGTCTGGTACCAAATTGACACCAAAGAGTTTATAATTTTTCAATAACATCCGTTAACAAAGTACATATGTATATACATACGTACGACAACACTATGTTAACGCAACGTTGTCAACATTGCAACAATTCGTTGTCGAAATCTAAATTTTATACACATCAGTTATCTAAATGTTGACAAACGTGATAAGCTCACTATAGGCCACGGATTGTTTGTCAATAGTGAGCTCACCACGTTTGTTAACATTTAGACAACGGATGTGTATAAAAGTTAGATTTCGACAACGAATTGTTGCAATGTTGTCAACATTACATAGTGTTGTTGTACGTATTTATATACTTTGATAACGGAAGGTTATCATTGAAAAATTATAAACAGTTTGGTGTCAATTTGATACCAGGCGTGTATATTTCCTTTTCCCTCTGTGTATTCGCAAACAACATTTTATTTTATAAATGGTTTATAAAACAAACGAAAAAAACGGAAAAAGTACAATTTATTTAATTAAACAAGTAAGAAAATACAGTCGGGCTTGGCCGACCATATGATACCCTACACCAGTTATGAATTTTAAATGTGATTTATTTATCTGCAATATAACCTTGTTTCCGATATATTTAAGCAAATAATGAACTAAAAGAGGTTTTATATGGGGGCTAGGGGCAAATATGGACCGATCCCGATAAAATTTTGTGATTATATTTATTTTTATATAACATTTATTTATGCTGAAATTCATTGCTTTATTGGTGTTTATATGTATGTATATGAATTTTGGACATTCAATTCATTTTCTGAAGGGGACTTTGTATGGGAGCTAGGGTCAAATGAGGCCCAATGTTTATGAAATTTGGCTTGTATAAAACTTATTTGTGCCACTTCTTATCGAGATACAGTTATATTAAACATAATTAAAGCTCAAAGGCCGCTTTCCTGGGGCATCTGTTGTACGGGGGCTAGATGAAATAATAGGACGATTTCTACCAAAGCGTGTGTACCAAATTTCATCCAATTTTATTGAAAATTGCGAACTGTAACTTGCGCACAAGGTTTACATGGAAAGCCAGCCAGACGGACGGATGGACAGACGGACACTAAAGTGGTGTAGGGTATAAAAAAGTATCCAATAAATCCTATGATGAATACAGTAGTTAACAATTTTATTAGATTTTTCACAATACTTTAAAATTTTTTATAACTTAACCTAACAAATTTTCCAAAAAATATAACAAATCTTTAACAAAAATCTTTAAATCCATAAAATTAAAAAGATAAACAACTATTCGTTATAAATATTGAAAAAACAAAACCTTTATAGCCCGAAAATTCCAGCTATTTTGTGAAGTGAAAACCAGCTCTTCGACACATACCAACCGAGCGAGTAATCAAATCAAACGGTAGCCAAAATAACAACAACAAAAGAAATCAGTTTATTTAACAACTATATGATTTTTAAAGCTTTTGAACTCAAGCCGCTTTTAACTTCAACAAAACAGAATCATATTAAACTATAATCAAAAAAAATTTCGAAAACAAAACAAATTTTAGAAGAGTATCACCTCCTCTTGTAGAAGCTTAACAAGCAAACAAAAACGTTGTTTCAAAATTAAACCAAAATTAATCAAGCTAAACATTAGACACTTGTGTATGCGTTTTTAAGATTTCAAGAAAAAAAAGGCTTAAGCTTAAAGTTTACAAAACATAGAGTTTTTAATCAAAAACAAGCAGCCGAATGTCTTAAATATGAAGAAATATTGACATTAAATCAAAAGTTAATTAATTACATTGAATGCAACTGCGTCAGCAGCAGCAGCAGCCTTAGCTGTAAACGGCATAAACATTAATCACTTGTCAATTGATAAATAATAAATGTAGGAAAACTAATAATAATTATTAACAAAATATGGCAAATAACAGGCAAGTGGCAAGTGTAAATTTATTGTCTAATGTAATTGGAAATATAATTAAGAAGGAATTTATCGATTAGGGGTATTCAGCTAAGGAAGTAAAAGCTTTTGCTATTAACATTAATTAATGTAAATAGTTAATACAATCAATCTGAATACCTCCCTTAATTATTATCTCTACTAACAATGACAAGATTTCAAGTACATTTCTTACTCAACAATTAGATAATTATTAAAACTCACTATTATTTAACAAGTAACGACGCCCTCAGTTCTCCTAAATGAAATGCATAAAATTAATGTCATTAAGAAAATATTTATTAAGTTTGTAAAGCTATTTACACTTTATAATTAATAATTAATAACCCAACAAACAATACTAATTCCCCTCTTTCTCTTCTTCTTCTTCCTCTTCTCATTTTAGATAAATCCCACTTGGATATCTTCTCAAATCGGCCACAACCGAAAAAGAAACGCAAATCTCGCACCGCTTTTACCAATCATCAAATCTTTGAATTGGAAAAACGTTTCTTATATCAAAAGTACCTGTCTCCAGCAGATCGTGATGAAATTGCTGCTTCGTTGGGGCTCTCAAATGCTCAAGTGATAACTTGGTTCCAAAATCGTAGAGCCAAACAAAAGCGTGATATTGAGGAATTGAAAAAAGATTTTGAAAGTGTTAAGGTATTCTCGGGTCATAAATCGTTTCTGGAAAACGTCAATGATCTAAGTATACTAAAGAAAAAGCCTTTGCATCCTGATGCTGCTGTAATGGAGGGTTTGGCGGCAGCAGCTGCCGCTGGTATGATGCCAGTAGTAACAGGACATCCCCCCACCAGCTCACTGCAAACACTATCTCCTCAGAAATGAAAACGTCTGCTAGCATTGCTCAAAAATAGGTTTGAGTACCAAAAAACAGCTCAGAAAAACAAATGAAACAAAGAAAACCGTTCTCTTTTCCATAAACCTTAAAAATTGCTGAAAATAATGCAATTTTCATCAAGGGTTTTTCTTCATAATAACAAAATCTTTAACAAATCATTCCTTTAACAACAACTAAAGAAAAGAGATAAGAACTTTAAACTCTTAAACACCAAAGAAAGCAGCAAGACAGCAAGTGAGCAAAATAACAATTGAGCATGAAAACAAAAACACAAAATGTTTAAGCTCTAGACAGAGTATAAAGCTTCCTATCAGCAGGCATAAAAACTTTTGATAAAAGTTATTTGTAAATAATTGTAATATAATTTAATTTATTTCTTTTGTTAATTCTAATATAATTAATATAGTTAATGTATAGAAAAAATATCTCAACAATTTAAAAAATAAAATTATTTGTATTATTAATATAAATTTTATTTAGCTTTTATTGATTAATTTTAAAAATAGCGTATTAAAAATAATGATTGTAAATATGTATTAAGAATAAGAAAAAAATTATACAAAATATTAAAAATAATAACTAAAAGAATAACAAAAATACAGAAAACCATTAAAACAAAAAATTAAAAAATATTAAATAATTGTGTTATTTTATTATTAAAAGGGATTAAAGTGATTAGTTTTTACGTGGTAATTGAAAAAGGTGGAGGTTGGATTTAGGCAATTAAAAATTGGTTGAAGTACAACTAAGTACTTAAACTAAGTACGAATAGAATTCAAATCAAGACCATTTTTGGATTATTCAATATTTTCCTTTATCAATCTTAAATCAACCCGATAATTGTCAAAATAAGAACATTAAGACGACTATGCAAAAAAGGCTAACATTAGGTACTTTCGTGGATGGATCCTTCATTGAATGCATTGTTTGGTTCTTACTTTAAGGAAAACCGTATCTACCGTTTTATTGAAACTGCTTAGTATTGATATGAGTAGGAATTGCTAAATTTTTTTAAGTGTAACATGACTTTTTGCCCTAAAGTTACAAATTTAGGTAAATTGAAAACAATTTAAGATCAAAGCCTTTCAAAATTTTAAACGTTTTCCAAACCATTTCCTAAACTATAGTATTCACTTAAACACCCAATGTAGTTAGTCTAGAATCTAGACTGTAGTCTATAGTCTAGTTTATAGTCTAGTCTACAGTCTAGTCTATAGTCTAGTCTATAGTCTAGTCTACAGTCTAGTCTATAGTCTAGTCTATAGTCTAGTCTATAGTCTAGTCTATAGTCTAGTTTATAGTCTAGTCTACAGTCTAGTCTATAGTCTAGTCTATAGTCTAGTCTATAGTCTAGTCTATAGTCTAGTCTATAGTCTAGTCTATAGTCTAGTCTATAGTCTAGTCTATAGTCTAGTCTAGTCAGTCTATAGTCTAGTCTATAGTCTAGTCTATAGTCTAGTCTATAGTCTAGTCTATAGTCTAGTCTATAGTCTAGTCTATAGTCTAGTCTATAGTCTAGTCTATAGTCTAGTCTATAGTCTAGTCTATAGTCTAGTCTATAGTCTAGTCTATAGTCTAGTCTATAGTCTAGTCTATAGTCTAGTCTATAGTCTAGTCTATAGTCTAGTCTATAGTCTAGTCTATAGTCTAGTCTATAGTCTAGTCTATAGTCTAGTCTATAGTCTAGTCTATAGTCTAGTCTATAGTCTAGTCTATAGTCTAGTCTATAGTCTAGTCTATAGTCTAGTCTATAGTCTAGTCTATAGTCTAGTCTATAGTCTAGTCTATAGTCTAGTCTATAGTCTAGTCTATAGTCTAGTCTATAGTCTAGTCTATAGTCTAGTCTATAGTCTAGTCTATAGTCTAGTTTATAGTCTAGTCTATAGTCTAGTCTATAGTCTAGTCTATAGTCTAGTCTATAGTCTAGTCTATAGTCTAGTCTAAAGTCTAGTCTATAGTCTAGTCTATAGTATAGTCTATAGTCTAGTCTATAGTCTAGTCTATAGTCTAGTCTAAAGTCTAGTCTATAGTCTAGTCTATAGTCTAGTCTATAGTATAGTCTATAGTCTAGTCTATAGTCTAGTCTATAGTCTAGTCTATAGTCTAGTCTATAGTCTAGTCTATAGTCTAGTCTAGTCTATAGTCTAGTCTATAGTCTAGTCTATAGTCTAGTCTATAGTCTAGTCTATAGTCCAGTCTATAGTCTAGTCTATAGTCTAGTCTATAGTCTAGTCTATTGTCTAGTCTATAGTCTAGTCTATTGTCTAGTCTAGTCTATAGTCTAGCCTATAGTCTAGTCTAGTCTATAGTCTAGTCTATAGTCTAGCCTATAGTCTAGTCTATAGTCTAGTCTATAGTCTAGTCTAGTCTATAGTCTAGTCTATAGTCTAGTCTATAGTCTAATCTATAGTCTAGTCTATAGTCTAGTCTATAGTCTAGTCTATAGTCTAGTCTATAGTCTAGTCTATAGTCTAAGTCTATAGTCTAGTCTATAGTCTAGTCTATAGTCTAGTCTATAGTCTAGTCTATAGTCTAGTCTATAGTCTAGTCTATAGTCTAGTCTATAGTCTAGTCTATAGTCTAGTCTATAGTCTAGTCTATAGTCTAGTCTATAGACTAGTCTATAGTCTAGTCTATAGTCTAGTCTATAGTCTAGTCTATAGTCTAGTCTATAGTCTAGTCTATAGTCTAGTCTATAGTCTAGTCTAAAGTCTAGTCTATAGTCTAATCTATAGTCTAGTCTAAAGTCTAGTCTATAGTCTAATCTATAGTCTAGTCTATAGTCTAGTCAATAGTCTAGTCTATAGTCTAGTCTATAGTCTAGTCTATAGTCCAGTCTATAGTCTAGTCTATAAGCTAGTGTATAGTCTAGTCTATAGTCTTTAGAACTTCATGATTTTTCATGATATATATCAACGATCACTCTTGAAATTATAGGCAGTACTTCCTCTAGACATTTTGCTTATTATATAAAAAAATAGAAATTCTTCTTCAAACATAATTATTGACAAATTTGATCATAAGAAGATAAATCCAGATCGATATCAAACTTAAGTATTAACTTACAACAGAATAAACTTGTTTCTCTAATATTTCAATGTTTGTATTTCTTTTACTAAATCAAAAACGTTTAATGAAACCGATCTTTTTACTACCGTTAAAAGAGATAGATGAAGCAGAAAGATGAAAAAAAACGATCATTAAGGTTTTCACAGCAATAAATCAACGATCTTTAAGCATAATTTTTATAGCAAAAAAGCGGCATAGCGAATATGTAAATGAATGTGCTGCGGAGGTAATTATTCTAAGCGATCAGGTGGTCTCTATAAATTATCGATATGAATTATAATTCAAACTCAACATTAGCATTCATTATAAAATGAATCTAAATGGCATAGATATAGAATGTTTATGTGAATGTGTGTAGTTATTTACATACATATACATATGTATGTATCTATGTAAATAAGTTTATGAGATTGTAAAGTGTACAAATACAAACGACTAATGAGTTTATATTCATTCAGTTAAACAGGCATTCATTCATTCATTACTTATATTTCATTTCTACTCCTTACATGTTTTTTTTGAAAATTATAATCAAGTTATAACTAATAAAAAATTAACCACATTATGATGTTTAATGTTGGCAAAAGCAGTTTGTTTGAAGAAGAAAACAAAAAAAGATGATTAACATGAAATAAAGAAATGTTATAAACAGGAATTTCTGGAAGACAAATAAATCTCATTAAAGAGTGGAAGTGATTGTGCAAGAATCATACACTTTTTTTCCTTTTTTGTAGATTTTATTTTGTACAAAAAAAAATAAAAAAACACCAAACAAATGATTCTTTGCCAATAAACTCGACAACAAGATCACAGAATAATGCCGCTAATACAGATGATGATGAATTCTTGAATGAAAATATTTTTAGATGAATCATGATTGAAGCAGTTTAACTCAATGAAAAAATACTAAAATCATTATCATTATACAGCCGCTTTAAACTAATAAAGTTGTAAGGAAATAACTTTTTTTCTTTCTGATATTTTGTAAAGATCATTATGATCATGATTCCTAAAAAAACGCAACACAAATGTATACGAATCTAACGAAAGAAATAAAAATAGAAAAGAAATCACATTTAAATGCCAATAATCACATGTTGATATAAAAAGAGGGAAAACACACACACACATGATTGAGAGTTTTAATAACTTAAAGAGCATGAAAATATCACCTGTGTAGCTGGAGAAACAGTCACATGGATTGATCATGTCAAGTTTATGTTGTGTGAATTTGAAGAAAACAAATTAGCAAAATTATAGATTAGAGTGTTGATTGTGGGTCATTGATTGAGTAGCTTTGGTTATTACAGGAAATGACAAGAAATCTTTGCAACTTTAAATATGTACATATATAGAAAATACATTCATGTATACTTATGCATATGCGTAGCTCTGATTTTCAGAAACTAAGAATTTTAATTTTTTTTGCAAAATCTTATAAAAGAATAAAAAGAAGAAAAATTTTCTAAAAAAAATCGAATTTATTAAAAAAATTGTAAATATGTAATTCTTTACAAAAGAAATTTCTATAGAAAACACAGATTTTACGGAAGTTCTTCACAAAAGAGAAGAAGACTAGACTATAGACTAGACTATAGACTAGACTATAGACTAGACTATAGACTAGACTATAGACTAGACTATAGACTAGACTATAGACTAGACTATAGACTAGACTATAGACTAGACTATAGACTAGACTATAGACTAGACTATAGACTAGACTATAGACTAGACTATAGACTAGACTATAGACTAGACTATAGACTAGACTATAGACTAGACTATAGACTAGACTATAGACTAGACTATAGTCTAGTATACATTGTAGTCTATAGTCTAGTCTATAGACTAGACATTCGCTAAAAGGGAGAGTTTTTCAAAAAGAGAATTGAACTAAAATTCTTTATTATTCCTCGATTAATAATGAATTTAGTAAAACTGGTTTTCGACTTTCTCTTAAATAAACAAATATTTTTAATAGAGTTCTTAATCCTCTCGCCTTCACTGTTCTCAAAATTAATGTAAATAAATATCTGTAATCAATTGTAATTTAAACGAAAATAGCTCTAGATTAAGAAGAAATACCACAAAATGATAATGTCACACAAATAACATAAGTTAAAAAATGATCGTACTGATATTTTACATTTTGAGCTTTGAAAAATAACAGGAAAAAGAAACTGCTACAACTAAACGTATTTCTTTATCTCATTTCATTGAAAATAATTTCCAAGTGACAAAGTGTCTGCGTGTCTCTTACTACTGAAAATTTATGGCCTTTGGGTCCCTAATCTAAACCAAAATAAGCGTAATTTACATATGGGATTAATTATGTGGCCGAAACAT